TCCTTTTCTTCACTGCTCTGGTGCCTGCCTCATTTATGTGGCTGTTAGTTGAATATTTTGTACTTTGAAAATATATGAAACTCATTAGGCAATGAAGTAGGATTTTAGCACTCTGATCTCTCATATTATGGACAAAGAGACCAGGTTCAGACAGGATTGACTTGCCCAAAGTCACATGGCTGCAGTTTGAACCCAGGTCTTCTGGTTCTTAGTCCACAGCTCTTTGCATTTTTATCATGCAATAAAAGGTAGCTCATCATAGAAATGTAAGGAGAAATAATGGCGACCTCTCTCCTTTCCCACAATTCTTACCAGTTTTGTATCACTTGCTCCCAGTTAGACAAGATATAATTGACTTTGTCTCTTCATGGAAGGGTACCCATGGCTCACCTCCATGCTAAAACCAACTCAATCCCCTGAATAATTTCTATTTACAATCTATTTCCTGGATTTTAAAAATTAGTGAACAAAGCTGTTCTTTCTGCAGCTAGGAATATACACTTAGGACAACAATCTGGAGAAATTTGACTTAAATTTAAACCAGATTATAAAACACTGGGGACAGGCATTAGTGGAGGTGGGTTGAGATTGTCATAGTAGCTTGGTGACGAGTGTTTAGCATACTCTATTGTAAGTTTATAACAATGCTAGGCATTATGCTATTTTACTGCACAGGAAACTGGATCACAAAGAAGTTAAGTAATTAACCCAGGTCCCTAGGGTTAATTATGTTTAAGTGTCAGTGCTAGATTTCAAATATTGGTTTAACTGGCTCAAATGGCTGTGCTCTTTCTACTACCCAACAGTTCTCTAACTTGATATAAAATTTTTCTGAGAAGATTATTTAAAAAGTAGTTTCCACCTAATCCAGGGATTCTGACTCAGCAGGGCTGAGGCAGGGTGGGGAATCAAATTTTTAAAAATGCCCTCAGTGGCGGAGGTTGCGGTGAGCCGAGATCGCGCCATTGCACTCCAGCCTGGGTAACAAGAGTGAAACTTCGTCTCAGAAAAAAAAAAAAAAAAAAAAAAAAAAAAAAAAAAAAAAAAAAAAAAAAAAAAAAATGCCCTCAGTGATTTTGACATAAAGTGTTGGGAATCCCTATAGGAAAAAAACAGAGAGGTGGGGGGCAGTGGGTGCAGATGGCAGCTTCCCTTCTTTGACAGCTTGAGGCTCGGCCAGCCACTCTCCAAGGCCTCACAGCCTCCCTAGACCTGGCCGGATGTCCTCTGACTGCAAAGGGCGGGCGGCCTCGGCAAGCTGTGCTGGAGGACCTCGCACTAAGACAAGGCTTCCCAGCATGGAAATCTCAAGTTCACCCGGAAGTTTCGAGGTTAGGGGTGTAGTTCCTTCTCTGTTGTTTTCCTTTCGAAATAAAGACCCATTTCCAACCGTAGTCTAAGCCCAGAGGTGGGCTCTTCCTTGTTTCTGTTCTTAGTGTTGGCACAAGTGGCCGGCCCAGGAAAGTGCCCAGTGTTCATTGAATCATGAATGGTGGAGGGTGTGCTGGGGCGTTCAGTCCTGGTGAGTTAGGTTCGAGGGCTTCCCTTTCTAAGTGTCTCCTGTTTGAGGGTTACACTGTGTATGACGGGCTACCCTCTGGCATGTAGCTCTAAGGAACACATAGCTGAGGGTCCCAAAGTAGTCAGTTTTCTAAGGTGCATAAAGATGAGTATGTGTGATCGTTTTTTCCTCCCTGTATTTTACAAATTGAATCTCATTCATTTGTGGGAAGATACTATAGAGATTAAATTTCTAATCTAGTCAACCTGTAATTATGTCTTTTCTTTAGCCAATCACTGATATTTTAAGTATCATAACTCACCTTCTAATGTTTCTCCCAGATAATTAGTATGAGATGAACAATCAGGAGATTTCAAGAGCCTGAAGCCTAATCAAAGAATCTACTCTTTCAGTTCCTTGATATAGTATTAAGGAATACTTAATACTAATACTTAATACTATATTAAGCCCCAGGGCTCTAATTTCCCATGCCTATAAACCTCAGAAGCTCAAGTAAAGACCTCTGATGATTTTCCATAATGTGATTCCAATGTGTTATAGAATTCCCTGCTCAGCTCCCACCTCCAAATGCACACTACATTTAAAGTAAGCCAACATGCACAGACACACAAGGTAACTCACCATCCTGACAGTCAAAACTTTATCATTTACCTGAGTTTCATCCTCCTCACCCATGTCATCCAGAAAACTGAAAATGGTCCAGGCACAAATTACTGAAACAGGTGGATGAGAGATGTGAGGTGGCCACGGTGGCTATGGTGACCTGGCGGGGGGCAGGCACTCCCCAAAGGAGTCAGCTTCCATTCAAACACATCCAGTTTGTGCCAGATGATAACATAGGCAAGGGGCTGGCAAATGTTCACATTCTTTAGGAGAAGCTGCACGTATGAATGAGATCTCCAGATTTAAAAGATGTTGGTGTTATAGACTGAATGTTTATGTATGCCCCCAAATTCTTATGTTGATGTCCTAACCCTTCTACCATGTGATGATATTTGGAGATGGGATCTTTGGGAGGTAATGATGGTTACATTAGATCATGAGGGTGGGGCCCTCATGGTGGGATTAGTGGCCTTATAAGAGGAAGAGAGAGAGATCTTTTGAGCTTGCCTTGCATGCACTCACTGAGGAAAGGCCACGTGAGGGCATGGTGAGCAGTTGGCCGACTGCAACCCAGGAGTTAGTCCTCAACAGGACCTGAATTTGCTGACACCTCGGTCTTGGACTTTTCAGCCTTGAGAACTGTGAGAAAACACATTTCTGCTGTTTAAGCCACCTGGTCTATTGTGTTTTATTAGAGCAGCTTGAGAAGACTAACACTGTTGGTCACGAGTGCTGGACAACAAATTATATCCTTAGATCAGATGATTGCTGACCGTTTGCCTGCTTTGTTGTAAAAGGGGCATTAAAAAATGAAATTAGGGATGGACAAGTGGGTACAAAAAGGAGAAAAAATTAACACAATTTTGAGGTATCAGCAGGTAGGTAGGGTTGGTTGGCTGTTTTCTAAACAGCTGTGCTTGAAGTAATATTTTAGCAAGATGGGGGCTCCAAGAAGGCTCAATTTACTACTTCTTTCTTTCTTTCCTCCCTCCCTCTTCCCCACTCTCTCACATTCCTTTTTTCCTTGTCCTACAAGTACTTACGGAATACCCCCTTTATAGGCCTCCCCTACCAACTTCACTAGGCTGCTAAGAATACAAAGGAGCAAATAACTTTGTCTTTCAGAGCTTTAGGCTCACTAGGGCTCTGATTTGTCTAAGTGGAACTGTAAAGGGAGGGCAAGGTTTCCGGGCCATCATTTCTGCGCCCATGACCCCTGGGAGTTGACATAGCACTGGTGGCTGCTCTGATTTAGAGTCAAGTGAGAGGAGGTGCTTGAATGCTGCTCTCCTGTATCAACATCCCCCTCCTAATTTAGATCAGAACTGATTCTTTGGTTTTGGGCAGTGTGGCAGAGGGGAGAAGGTTCAGAGAGGCCTCGTTTCGGAGTCACTTTCCTTCGGGCAGGTTGGATTGTGATTGCCGTGCAGTGAAAACATCCATAACCGTGAGTGGCCACGGGTTTGAGCATGTTTAGCCACTGCTTGTATAACTTGGCTGCTGGTGGCTGGTGGTGACCAGGACAAAGAGAGAAGAGACTCTTATTTTTGAGAAATGTAGTGTTTATAATAAAAGAAAGCTTCTAGCATTTCTAAAAAAAAAAATTCAGGCAAGTAAACCACAGTCCGAAAACCATCCACTAGTTTGGTCCACCCAAGGCCCATTCATTCATTTATTCATTCACCTATCATTGCAGAGGGCATTGGGTTGGGAGCTTGGGGTATTGGTGATTAAGCTGCAGGTCTTGCTTGGTCTGGCAATTGAAAAACTGATTTTTCCAAACACTGTATCTGCATGTCTTGGCATCATGAAGACAAGGACTCGTGGCTGCATAGGTCTGGGGGGCAGAGCAGAGGGCTCCTGGCATTTAATCTTAGTTAAAAATACTTTTCAAAATCATTTTACCAACAAGTCAGAGCTATAAATATATTAAGTTAAATGAGAGGAAACAAATCAGAGATGTAACTGTTAAAATCTGGAGTATTTTAGTTGAAAGACTGGGACATGAAAAGTAAATCTTCAACTTGAGAACACTTTGTCTCAAGGGAAGTTAAAAAAAAAACTTAAAAATAACAAAAGCTTCAAAGCAAGTGTCTTTATCACTGGCAAAGCAGGTGGTCCCACATTTATTGTATGTAGGGCTCAAGGAAGCTTAAACTTAAAATGCTTCAGCGGCTCCTTCCCAATCCAGGGTCAGTAGCAAGTATCATAACTCGCCTTCTAAGAGACATTATTTTGGGATAGGAAAAAAATCTATTTATTCCACTCTAGGTACTCCGAAGCAGGGTATGGATTCTGCTTTCATCTTCCAATGCAAGTGTATTTCCACAGGGCTGAGATCTGGCATGCACGATTTCAGCCTGAGACGATTACTTTCTGGAAATTTGCAGTGAGTGGAAACAGTCGTGTAGAGCTGCGGATCTTGCTACCTGGATCAATAACTTCTTCTAGTTAAGATTCCTGCCAAGGAAAAGCAGGAATATCAAATTTCATAGACCTAACGAACCACGGGAAACTGCTTGCACCCATGTGTGCAAGGATTACTTTTTATAATTTATACAAACCAAAGCATTCATTGGAATAAGAATAATAGCTAATATTTATTTATCATTTATTATCCTGGCCACTGTGCCAACTTTATATACAGTGAGTTCTGTAATCCCTGCAACAACCCATGGGTAGGTACTATTATTTTTTCTTCTTTATAGATAAGAACATTGAGGCACAAAAATGCTAAATTACAGAGTGGGTTCAATGTGTCGCTTGCTTAGAAAATGAGTCAAGTCCCATATGTGTGAATGAATGTGAACATTCCCATTTCCTTGTCATTTGGTTTTCTTTCTCAAGTTTGGTGTGTTTGCTCTGTGTTCACAGGATATTGCTAACTTCTTAGTCCTTTGAAGAAAAATCAAATTTCTTCTTGAGGAAAGACTTTTGAAACCCACAATATGAATTCAAGAAGCAAAAAGAAAATCAGATTTCACAAACGGGATACCAACAGCTTGGAAGAATCAATTGCTTTTGCAGGGTTTGTTGTTGAGGGAACCCTGTGTTTCCCAGTGCCCTTGACGTTTCTTCCTCAAATAAAAAGTAACAAAATGCAACCAACTGACTCATTTTCTAAGCAAGTGACATATTTGCCCTACTCTTTAAGTTGAAATTCTTAGCAATTCTCCAATCCTTAGTTCACATGAAATGTAATGTTTTTTTCTTAAAATGTTTGGCCAAGTTGGGCAAAGTAGGCATGGTAGTGTGCACCTGTAGCCAAGTTCCAAGGGTCGCTTGAGGTCAGAAGGTTGAGATTAGCCTGGGCAATATAGCAAGACTCTGTCTCTAAAAAACAAAATAAATAAACAAAAAGTAAAATGTTTGGTCTTCTGCAACCTGACCATTCCACTTCTCATTCCCAACCATGCTCTGGGACCACCTCCCTCCTGTGCTAAGGAAGGCTGGGCTATTCTTTGAACATACTGCTCAATCCGTCCTGCATTGATGCCTTTGCTATGGCAGTTTGCCCTGGTCTCTTCCTCCTCTGAGTCTAGCTCAAGGGCTGCTTCTGAACAGCTGCACAATTGAGCTGCTTATCTGTACACTTCACTGCTGAACCAGCCTGGGCCACAGGTGTCGCAGTCAGGTTGTTTTCAGAGCTTCACCCTGCAGGAAGAAAGTCTGTGAAGTTTCTGGCCCTGGCATGGAGCTACAGAATCTTGGTGAATCAAACAACTTCTCCAAGGCTCAAACAAGACTAAAAATTTTAAAGCACTAATGGAAGGAGAGGAGAGCATCAAGGATTGCATCCTCCGCTTACTAGTATTTATTTATTTATTTAGTTGTGACTGCTGGCCCCCCAGATAGCCTTCATCCCTGGAAATGTGCCTGAAAGATGTCTCTTCACATACTTGGGCCTTACAGAATGTGCCAGAAGCCAGGGTTAAACAATGTCAGCTGGATGAACAGATTTCAGTGGTGAAGGCTGTTGGAAACTACCACTGTGTTACATTCCACTTTAAACTCCTCACCTTGAAGTGAAGCTAAGTCAGGCCAGAGAATTGAATGGATTTGCCTCTGGCCACAGTATGAAGTGGCAGAGTAAGCGGAAGGAGAATGTGGTATGTGTTACAGGCTGTCCGTATTTGCCAGACCATGATCTTTAAAAAAAAAAAAATATATATATATATATATATATATATACACATTTCACAAAGAGTTTGGCATTATAAAAAGAATCTTTTAAGTACCACAGTCTTTTATCCAGAACATTATTAAGAACTTTTTATTAAAAATTAAGATGCCTCAGGAACCATATAAAACTTTAACAGCCTCTACCTTTCCACTTCACCTTTTCCAGGGCACCTCAGAAGAGGTGGTAGAATTTTCAAACAGTTGGAGAGCTCTGCGAGGAACATTCTACTTTGCCAATTTATCCCCGTATTGGCCCAGGGCAGCCATTTACAACCTTGTTTTTGGTTATTTCAGCTGCTGCTAGGTGTTCTCCTTCAAACACACCTGCACTGCTGTGAGGACACTAGCCCACAGGCAGAACGCGATGTGTTTCTCAGAGCTGCGGACTGTGGGCTGTGGCCTCCCACAGGTCTGTGTGCATGAGCCCATCAGCATCCACTGAGCTCTTCTGAAGTTCTCTGGTTTCCTCTGACTTCTCTTCTGTACTGGGAAGTTAGGTACTGGACCAGCCTCATGTTTATTCATCAGTGCAGGTCCCTTTGTTCAACTCAAATGAGCACCACATGGGGTTCCTTCTTTCCCTGGGCCTGGATCCCTTCTGTGCTTGTCTTTTAAATTAATCTGCCTACATGGGGAGAGTCTTTTACAGTTTTTTCCTGAATGTACCTCTTTTTATATTCAAGAGACTCTTTGCCTCTAGGGTGCTGTCATTTGACAAATAAATCCTCATCCTGCATTGCCCCCACCTCCATCCCGAGTTTCTCACCTGGATCCTGGCCCTTTGTTCACCTGCTGTCTTTCAGAGCGGAGAGTGCTCGCCCTTCAGTCTCCTATTCACCGCAGTCCCCCAAATTCCCTTCTCTTGGGTGGTCTCTTTGATCTCTTTCATATTTCTCTAATTCTAATAGCAAGACTTCAGGCCCTGCTTGAGAAAGCATGCATTTTCCTCCTTCAGGTTCATACAGTCCGTTAGGCTTCCTTACCATCAGCTCTTGTTGGTTGAAAGACCTGAAAACTCTCAGCTGGCCATTTCCTGAGGTTTTCTTTTTCATTCATGGAGAAGCAACTGAGGCCCTTCACCAGTCTGGACACAGTCAGGAATTTTCTGGATTGCTGTGATTATTCTTTTATTCAGTAAACATTTGCTAAGTCCCTTCCATATAAAAGACAGTATCTCAGGGGCTGGGGATACAAGAATATAACCAAGGTCCTGCCTAGAAGGGGCTTGCAGGCTGGTGTGGGAGATACAGTAACACATATTGCCTTCTATTGGATACCAGTGCAGTAGGTTGGAGTGGGAGCAGGATGTATGAGATGCCCCACTGCATGTTAGAGGATGGACCACCTCATTCAGCAAGGGAAGGGGTGTTAGGGAAAGCTGTCACCAAAAAGCCCTAGTTGAACTGAGCTGTGGAGCACGATGAGTCATTCACTAGGCAAAGCCAGCCAGGGCATTCCTGGTGGAGGCAGACACACAGGCAAAGGCTCAAAAGTGTGCAAGGGGGTTGACTGTGTTCGTTCTTTTTACGAACGTTGTCAAAGCTTCAATAATCTTGCTCCTGTGCATTTCTTCTCTGCCCTGCAGGCAGAATGTGCTGTGAGTGGGTTATCAGGAAAGGTCAAAGACCTCATGGCTGGTGTAAGGGGCTGCAGGGCTGGGCCAGGGAAAGGGAGGGAAGGGTGAGTCACTTCAAAGTTTTGTGTGCTGAGACACGGCTCTTAAAGGAGTCCTGGGGTTTTTGCAAAGAAGAAAGTGCTTAAAGGCAGATTATGCAGCCAACAGCGAGCCAGTAAATGGTTTCACTGGGGCCTATACTGGGCCATTTTGGCAGCCTTCTTTATTGGGTTTGGGGCTCTCTGGCTATCAGATACCTTTCTGTTCTCTCCTTGCAAATGCCCATGAGGGGTTTAGGGTAAAAATGTGGAGCTTTTTAGCATTTTAATGTGATTTCAATTGCATTTTAATTTTTAATAAAATGTTGAATAAAGTCCTGCTCAAAGAGCCCCAGGGATGAGAAGATTCTATTTAACAGGGATCCCAATATTTTCATACTGGGAAATAGATGGTTTAACAAGACCCTGGTACATCTCTTTCAAGTAAGTGCAATAAATGGTTCTGTTGGAATGGGAAAAAAGGGAAGTGCATGCATACGTGCATATATCTTATTTTTCTGTATAGCCAGTAATTCCACTCCTTGGAAGTAACCGCCGAGCTTCTGGCATCTTTGACTAATACCCTTCTCATATGATAGTTACACTGCTCCAAAGACAGTACGGACATCTGAGCCAAACATTTTTCTGTTTCGTTTGCAAGAAATGGAACTGACAGATATACCTGTCTATTTTGTTTCCAAGAAAATGTCTTGTTAGAAATGTGTGAAAATATATTATATGACAGTTGCTGAAAATGTTTCAGATGCAGCAATAAACTGATTGTGGGTTTTGGACCAGACGTGCACCATGTTTAGGATTTATTGTACTTCTCTGTATTCTAGCCCAGCGCTTACGTAAGTAGAGAGAAGTGCTTCACTTTTCAGTGAGATTTCTTATGTAGATGAATGGCATTTTCCTTCATTTAGTGATGGGAAATTATAGGAATCATGCAAATTGTAAATAACCACTCACCTCACACCCACTGTGTAGCTGAGAACACTCAGATGAAGGGCCTGTTGTTTTTGTCATGACTCCTGAGGTTAAGGAGAAGATTTAGCCTGCAAATGTCTATTGCTTAACTGTGCCACATTTTCTGACTCGCTTAGAAACTAAAGAAATGCACTTAGTGTCTGATTGTAGTATTTTAAATCCCTGTCTTTTGATCTGATGCACTGTAGAACCCAGTCAGAACTCGGTTAGTTTAAAAGGCAGGAGACTTTTTCATGCATACCCCTATGAGATTCCAGGCAGCCTTTGCCAAAGGTGTTAGACATTTGTTTTTCTACACAGTAAAATAGGCTTCTAAGTGGAGAAATAATCTGTGTGCTATGACTGATCTGCTTTTTTATGCTATCTCATGTTCATTTCATATCTAGAGGCACATTGATACTGAATGGTTAAAGATTTGTCTCATTTCCTTGCCAAGGAGGATTATGTTTCCAGCTTTTTGTTAATTCTCAGCATTTCAACCATTGCTGCTGTTAACATCCTGTATTACTGTGCTAGGTATTCCTTGGACCCAGGAGTGGGGTAAGACATGGTCCTGCCCTCAGGAAAGCAGTAAGGGAGTCCATGAAGGGCATGAAGTCCAGGTGCTTCACACAGGAGACGTCGTTTAATGCTCACAGAAATGTTAGATTTTGCAGGGGGTGAGGGTGTTAATTTCTTTATTTAGAAAAGATGAATCTGGGCCTCTTGTAGCTCACAGATGAGGATCCAGAACTAATAGTTGCTTGACTACAGAGCTCATGCCCTCCCTCCAGCTCACTGCTTGGGTGGCTTGATAGTAAAGACATAACAATGAACATAAGGTAGAAACATTTGGAATAAAGGCTAACATAGGCACCAGAGCATTAAAAATACATTGTGGGTTAGAGAGGGGTCACTGCATACATGTAGTCAATAAAGGAATGCTTTGTGAAGAAGCCCTGAGCTGTGTTTCGAAGCCTGAAGATGTGGACAGAAATCACAGGCATGAAGACACCATGGAGGATGAGCTTGCAGCCTGAACGAGCTACACCAGGTTGCCAGGGGGCAGACCTGGAGAGTCGGGGAGAGGGGAATAACAAAGAAGGGGAAGGTGAAGGGCAGGCTGTTTAGAGCTCCATGAGAAATTGTGTGTGTGTGTGTGTGTGTGTGTGTGAGAGAGAGAGAGAGACAGGTGTGTCAGGAGGGTTTACAATGTGGCGGAAACATGCCATTTAACTAAAAATCAGAATGTTTGGGGAATATACAATGCTGAAATTTCCCATTGTAGCCAGAAAAAACGTGATGTTTTAATAATGAGGAGAATGTCATGTTTCCCTTCCTATCAGGGAATGAAATAAGTCAACCTCTTTGCCGAGTTGAAAGTGGCTGAGTTGTTGGCAAAGTGAACAAATTCTCTTTGAGTCTCTGTGATAAAAGAAGGCAACAGGGCACAGGAGATGGGGCAGGTAGAGGAGGACCAGCGTGCAGGCCACCTCAGCCCTGCCGTTTGTCTGATTATCTGAAAGTGCTTGGAAACTAGAAGGCAGATGAAAACATATTTTTAAAAAATGAAAATCCAGAGGAAAAACCCGGTGAGCCCAGGGATCACGCAGGGCGGTTCTAAACTGGAATTTGGGATGGGGTTATCTTTTCTCCCAGAGTACAGCTTTTAAAACATTTCCAGCAAATATTCACTTATGCTGTCAGGGATGGCAGCATAAAGTGAGAAGCGATGAAATATAGTTTCCTTGTTTTTTTCCTCTTTGCTTATAAGGAGATACCTAACGACATTTAATACAATTTAAAAAACACTTTTTATTTATTTATTTTTTTGAGACAGAGTCCCGCTTTGTCATCCAGGCTGGAGTGCAGTGGCGCGATCTCAGCTCACTGCAACCTCCACCTTCTGGGTTCAAGTATTTCTCCTGCCTCAGCCTATTGAGTAGCTGGGATTACAGGTGTGTGCCACCATACCCAGCTAATGTTTATATTTTTAGTAGAGATGGGGTTTCACCAAGAAATTAACGATAGGTGATTTTATAATGGGGCAGAAAAGGAAAACCTCTAAGATGAAGTGAGCAACTTAGGAATCCCTATGTAGTCATCACAGATGCCTGTCTATCGATTTGAACCCTGTTTCAAATATGGAATTTTAATTTAAGAGAAAGGTACACACCAAATCCATGCATGATTTTTTGGTGGTTTGAAAGGAAGTAATGGAGTTTTAAAAAATGTGTGAACAGTTGATATGACATGCTCAGTGTGTACACAGTCATTTATGTGGAGGCAATGCACTGGATGCTGGAGCTACAAAGAGGAAGGTCAGGGGCTTTCAATCTATTGGGGGAGGCAGAGCAAAGAGTAATACAAAGTGATTAGTGCTATAATATGCAACGAGAGGTGGGATTCTTAAAAAGGAATTATTTACAAAGACTGGAAAAATCAGGGAAGGTGTTATGGGGAACATGACATTTGAGTGGGTTTTGCAGTATGGATAACAGTTCAGATGGAGGAGAGAGAAGTGGAATAAAGAAGGATGGCAAGGGGCATTGTGTGGAAAGACATGCAAGGAAAAACTCAGGCATGTTAATGTGTACCCTCTATTTGGGGAACATACCACAGGCCTCCTTTTTTGGGGAGGCCCTCACAGTTCAGGGCACTCGCTAGTTTCAGGGAAACTAGTATTTCCCTAAACTAGATTGGGAAATGCCACTATCACTTTGAAGAATCCCTGAGTTTTTTGCTTTTTGTTTTCTGGTTTTTTTATAGCAGAAGAGGGGTTTAATCTGGACTGAGTTGGAGGAAAGGAATGGGTGCCAGAGTAGAGGCTGGAAGGATGGTGGAACTGGAACTGGGCCAGAACACAGAAAATGGAATCTAATGCTAGTAAGTTCTTCGTTATAGAATGCAACTTTGTGTTGTAACCCCTGTCTCCTCTACTGGCCTACAATGCAAGTTTCTTGCCTTAGTCATCTTTGTATCTCTGTGCCCAACATAGTAGGTGTATTAGTCTGTTTTCATGCTGCCGATAAAGACATACCTGAGGCTGGGAAATTTACAAAAGAAAGAGTTGTATTGGACTTACAGTTCCATGTGGCTGGGGAGGCCTCAAAATCATGGCGGAAGGTGAAAGGCACATCTCACATGGCGGCAGACAAGAGAAGAACTTGTACAGGGAAACTCCTCTTCGTAAAGCTATCAGATCTCATGAGATTTATTCACTGTCACAAGAACAGCACAGGAAAGGTCTGCCCTGTAATTCAATTACCTCCCACTGGGTCTCTCCCACAACATGTGGGAATTCAAGATGAGATTTGGGTGGGGACATAGCCGAACCATATCAGTAGGTTCTTAATAAATCTCTGTTGAATGAATCAAGGGAAGAATGAACTATTGTAGTTGTGGTTAAGAGGTTCTGATGTAGGTATAAGCCTCTGTGGCAATATTGGAAAATGTAAGAATTTTGGGAGCTAGAAAATAAGAAAAAGTAAATATCTCAATCAGGTTTAGACACAGGTCTCACTTTTGATATTGGTTTTGATAAAGCAGTGTGATTAATTTCTTTGTTAAAGTAGTGTTTCATGAGGACTTATTTTTCTATAAATCACTGATAAGTTCTTTTGTCCACATTGAAATATTAGATTAGTCTTATTTTTATGGGATAGTAAAATATATAAGGAAAAGTACTATTTAATATATTTAGAAAAATGGAGAAGTAAATTAGAGAAGATAAATCATGAGCCATTTGGTGTGGACTGACAGTTATTTTAGCAAGTAAAGGAAACATTTTCTTAATGCTTATTTTTTAATGCTTATTATTTTGTCTCACAAAAGATGTGAGACCAAAAAAAAGAAGACAAATCTCCATTTATAATTTACTTTGCTCCAAGAATTCACATTGCAAGATTTATTTTAAAGACACAACTTAAAGAAAACTAGATGAATGTTTCAGCATGCATTGTCACCATTATCACGTTTAAAATGGCAGAAGAAAACTGCCATCAACTCCACTTTTGAAAGACGGAGGTACCCCCATTTCAGCTTGGCCAACATCATCTAGACAAAATGGACAGTGAAACTAAAACCCATGGCCAAAATCAAGCTTTGTGAGGCTGAAGGGTCCCAAATCAGCGTGTTGGACAATGTTTCGAAATACCAGCTGAGGGTTTTTCTGGTGTTTACTGGGGTCCTTTGATTCTTCTTCCATTCAGTAAACTAGGTCAGTCTGGCTTCACTGGAAGATGTGTCATAGAGTAAATATAGAAAAAGAAGTCGAATATTGCCTTTTGAGTTCCAAAAGCCTATCTCCCTCTGGAAAGTGAAGAACCTGGGACAGATGGGCTAAAATACCTAAGCTGTGAGGGCCAGAAGTCCACCCCAAATGGGGTAAAGATTCCTAGGGGTCAAGAAGCATCAGGGAGTTGTGGGGACGTATCTGGAAGTGTCTTTGTGGATCATCTCTGAGAAAGAGGATTGATGCCCAGTCCCTACCCAGACTGAATCCTGGGAAGGCACAATTCAAGAACCTTCAATAGAATCGTGGGAGCTCTGTTTACCCAGGGACTGGCCCTCACTTTCTGGGTAGTGCTCAAAGGAGACATGGTTGTATGGCGATGAAGGGCCTTCAGAAGCACCAGTTTCCATGGGAAGAATCATGGGAATAATGATTCTCTGAGCCAAGTAGATGGGTTTTTGAATGGCCCCACAGTTTCTCACACCCCAGTATGGTGGAGCAGTGAGTGAATTACTGTATACCAGAGAGGAGTTCAAGGAGAAAGAAGAGCAGAGGCAAAGGTGGGAATGTGGGCTGGGCAGCAGTGAACTTACTGCATGGTAGCCAGGACCAGGTGGGCCCCAGGGCATCATTGCAGATGCCACTGTGCTTGGCTCAAGATAACTGAGGACCCATTGTCCACCACCCCATCCCTGCCTGATCAGCCCTGCTCAACCTCTAGAATCCCGACGTGACTTGGGCTTCTGCTACCTTGTCACAGGCATGGCCTTTCAAAATAGAAATTCAGCTGTGGTATGGGAAAATAAAGTCGCATTTCTTGCACACATGAATCTGGGGACTGAGATTCAAGCCTGCCCTTTATATAATAAAGAAAAGTTCCATTTGATGAAATCTGGTTAAGAATGGGCACTTCTCTGTCCTGCAAAGATCAGTATGCCCTTAACCTCGGGCAAAGACAAAGATGGGTTTGTTGAAAAAATACGCAAAAATCTCTCAGAAACCAAGCAGAAGAGTATAGTAGGGTCTGAATGGATTCTTGGAAAGTTAAAAATGAGCTTCCTTCTCTGCCGTAAGGGGCCATGTGAACCCTTTTATTTCTCCCTGTGTGCCTTGCCTCTGTCCCTCTTCATTCCTAGAGTCTTCTGCCATCCCATTCTATGCAGAGACTGTGATGACCTTGCCCTAGGCCTTACACCTGTTCAGTTCTAGCAGTGGCCCCACAGATAGAGGAGGCTCTTTTGTGGTTCTCAGGTCAGTGTCCACATAGTAAGAATCTGATTGGGCCCCTGTGGTTAAATGTTTACTCCTGGTCCAATCACTGGTTGGGTATTTTGGTGCTGAGTCACAAACCACATTCAGAGCAATCAGGACAGGGCTGCCATGTTGCACAACTGCAGGGTGTGGCTGCCAAACAGTACTCTGTGAGCAGCTCCCCGGGATGTGTGTGGTGAGAGGCGGTGGTCCTGGCTAAAAGTCCAGCTTTCCTGCTTAGCAAATGTAACACAATGGTGGAACACAGTGTTGTTGCTGTTTGAATTAACATCTTCCTAACACATGTTGAGTGGCCATATGAATGCATGGAGCGAGACTAGGAGAGCTGACCTTGGCATATTGAATGCTCATGGTGAGCAGCAGATGAGGATGCCTACTCAGGTGGTTCCCTGTTTAGTACTGTGGTTTAGAGAGGAAGCTTTGATGTTTAGCACACCTGTGTTCACATCACAACTGTTTAGAAAAATGTGACATTGGTCAAGTTACTTGATTTTTCTTTCTCAGTGTCTTTATCAATAAAATGGGGATGAAAATTTCTATAGAAATTCTCATAAGGATTAAAGGGGTCAATGCATTTAAAAAACTTATACCAGTGTCTAATGCTTTAAATACATTTAAAGAACTTAGGCCGTTGCCCAATAAGGGTCAGATGTGACTTATGTCATAATTATCACAAATAATTCTATAATTACTGAATTATTTCACTAATTAATTTTAATTATTTGTGAATAATTCACTAATTCACTAATAGAATAATTCACTAATAGAACTATTAGTGATATATTACTGACTTAGTGAAAATTATTAGTGACTTAGTGATTATTCATGAATTATTACTATTTTAGTGAATATTAGTGAATTGTAATATAATTAATAATAATTCTATTGTTAGTGATAATAAACCATATATATTTTACAGTCTTAAAATGTTAATAACCCATTATATTGAAAGCATTTATTTATCTGTGTTCAAGATAATATATTTTTGGTTAAGGTCCTTGTAATTAAAATCAGAATCACAATATTATATCAACATTGATACAAGTAATAACAACAATGATGATGATAATTAAAAACCTGGATACAATTTTGTCTGACGCTTACCGTGGTTCAGGCATGCATGTATTTATCATATTTGATTTTGATTTTATTTTTAAAATGTTGTCTTTACTTTTTATCTTAGCATCTTGACCCTTTTGTGACATCTAGCAGGATGTATTTTTTTCAAGATACATGTTTCACAAACAAAATATATGTTTATATCTGGCTGTGCCCAAGCTGCTAATTATGGGCATCTCTTTCTATAGCTCACTATTAATCACTCATGTCTTTGGGGTTATATAGAAAACAATTTATGTTACCAAATCAAATCCTCCCTTAAAAATGTTTGCCCTGGAAGTGAGGCGGGAGGAAATCACAAACTGTTATTATTTTCCCTTAGATGGATCTAAATATTAACATTCCCTTAGCTTTAAAGATTATTTTTATGCCGCTCCTTTATAAACAATTGAAGTTCACTAACTCTTCTGTTGTCTCGAGTTCTGTCTACAGCATACCCAAACAACTCAGCTCAAAATTGGGCAATCAGTTCAACAGGTTATTTGGCATCATATGTAGAAAATAAAAATGTTTGAATAGCTTTCAACATTTTAAAGTGAATGGCATAGAGTAAATTAAATTGAAAGTTTAAACACAGGCTAAGGATCCCTCGCACAGAGGAAGGAGTTGCCATTTCTGGATCTCATTGCAACTGTATTAACTACCCAACTACCAGGGCAACAATGGCAGCCGCAGTGGTGTGGTAGTAATAGCAGTAGTTTTAGCAGGAGGAGGAGGAGGGAGAATAGCTATTAATAGTATGAACAACAGAAGTGGTTGTCATAGTTAACACTACGTGTACACATTGTTTTAGGTACTTCATGTACAGTAACTCATTTAATCTTTACAGCAACCTTAAGAGATAGTGCTATTAATTCCCTGTTTTACAGAGAAGGAGACTAAGATTCGAAGAGGTAAAGTCACTAGTGGAAGAACCAACACTTGGAGAACAATAATAAAGGCTGACATAGATCCAATATTCATGCTTCTCAACTACTGATAAAATTACCCCATTCAACCCTCACAGTGAGCCCAGGAGGTGGATTTCTTATTATCCCCATTTAACACAGGAGAAAATGAAGCTTGAGTGTCTGGCTGATGAAATGGCAGACAGGGTCTGAAACCAGGGGTCCAAAGCCAGAGGTCCAGTCTTGCTTTCAGTTTGGTGATGTCTTGCAGATTCTGCTTGGACTGGTTTGTTGAGGGAGGAGAAGTCCTCTAGGCAGAAGCTGTTGCTTTGAGGGGGAATCTGGGGACCCACTTCTCCCTGAGGAGTACACTC